TCTGTGAAATTATAATTTTACTTCACGTACCATGAAAGTAAAACGAGAAAATTCTGTCAAACTGCACAAATATTGGAAAACGAGTCATCCAAAAATAACTTTTCTGTGAAACTATAATTTAATTTCACGTACCATGAAAGTAAAACGAGAAAATTCTGTCAAACTGCACAAATATTGGAAAACGAGTCATCCAAAAATAACTTTTCTGTGAAACTATAATTTAATTTCACGTACCATGATAGCAAAACGAGACAGCCGCAGTGCTGCTTTCATATCTTCTAAAGCGTGTCATTCAAAAACAGCTTGTGAAACCATATCAGATTCTAAGACTGTTAATATCTACAACAGAAGAAATTCAATTCTTTTTGTCTTCTTAGATTTTATTCGATTAAATAGAAAACGGAAAAGATAAAATAACTAAAGTGAAAGCGAATAAAAGGCAATACTTTTTTTTAAAGACAAAATTTATAAGGTTTGATTGTTTTCCAGATAATATCGAAAGAAAGACATTTGGCTTCTTCAAAGCCCCCACCCCGTTTAAGAGCTGTATAACTTCTGCACGAAAAGAAGACAATCAAACTTGAACATTAGTCCCCTGAGGAAGAGACTGAAAATACATGAATATATAAAACTAGTTACCGACAAGAATGGATTAAAATAATAATAATAATAATAATAATAATAATAATAATAAAGCAAGGACCATAATATATTGATAAAAGAGAAGACACGAGATTTTTCCGAAATCTGTTTTCCCTAGATTCTGTCTGAATTATTTTATTCATTGTTTTTTTTAGCTCTATATTCATAGATTTTTCGATTATTCTTTTCTTTAAATAAAAAATGAAGTATAAAATAATTTGACATTTCAAAATAACTTTGTTAAAAAACATTCTTGAAATTCTTCGAAATTCTGTGAGAAATAAATACAAACATTTCACTTGGTCGAAATAATTCATATTCAATGGTGAAAAAAAAAAAAAAATACAGGGTGTCATCGACTGTTCGAGACATCACGAAAAAAGTATTTTAACGCCTAATGTAAAATGTTTACGAATTTTTTCCCATATAATTCAATTTGATTTTTATTAAAGAATGAAACGAACAAAAATGTTATTCAGAAAGTTGATCTATGAATAAGACAGTTGTAAATAGTGACATTTCTTTAGAATATTAAATAAGAAGTGAAACATATTGAAAAAGTTGCTTTGTTCTTTTTTACATGTCTGTAAATTTGCCTCCAGTTTTATTCAGTTGTCGGCTGAAATCAAAGATTTCTGCGACGGAATATTGAATCTAGGCAAAATCCATTGGCATATTTGACAATAGAGAGAGAAATGTTAATGAGTATTATTAAAAAGCGCCTAACATGAGGGTTACTCAGAATTTAAAAGCTTTGTAAACAGAAACAATAAAATGAAATTCAACGAGATTTTTTAATAATCTGAAATTGTTGACGAGATGATTTTTTTTTAATGTTATATCCATTTAGTGTAAAAGATCATGTCTTGCCAGATATTATTATTTACCAATTACCGTGATTTTTAGGTAAGATAGCGGAGTGTTTTCCTGCTGTTTTCTTAACGGTTTTATATTCAGGGTTGTTTTTCTCCAAGAAAGAAAACGTTTAAAACGCCTGAAAATTTTAATCTGTTCTTTTATTTAACACATAGTTGGGAGAGAGAATAAATTTGTTCATGACTTTCCCGATGGTATTAATGCTAAAAGGCCATTAAATAATTGAAGTCGGTGATTACATTTTACAAAAATATACTAGTTCAGTATTTGATTGATTGACGACTTGTTTTTACGGCTTATCAATCATTTGCAGGTTATTTAAAGCTAGAAAATATTTTTTAGATTGTAAGAATATATTTTGTTGATAATAATGGTTTACAAGTCTTACTAATTTCTTCATTTAATTTCTTCTGCTTAATCAGTAGATAACGAAGGTTGGTAGCGTTTCATTCCCTCTCTTAAATGCATGCAAAAATCAATAGGTAAAAACATTAATTAAGGAGTGTTTTTATCATTTTTCATTCAATTACACAAATATATATATATATATATATATATATATATATATATATATATATATATATATATATATGAAAATTTTTCCGATTTAACCAGTAGAAGACAATATTTATGAATAAAAAATGACAATAGGAAAACTGGTAATTGCTGACGCGTTTCGACCAATGTGGACTTTTTTTTTCGTATTTTGCTTTGATAAAGTCCACAGTGGAAGAAACGCGTCAGCAATTACCAGTGTTCCTATTTTTTATTTATATATATATATATATATATATATATATATATATATATATATATATATATATATATATATCAGAGGTTATCAGGTTCAATAACTTTTTATATACCGGCGGTTTATAATTTTAATCGACTTCTCGTCATATAATTAGGATATATCTGGTTAAAAGAAAATACTTTAAAGGAGTTTTTTTATTTTGTTTATATCAGATTATTTCCTCAGATTATCTTTCTCAGAATTTCTTTGAAGTTAATCTTATTTCTTCATCAATAAAATGGTTTGGCAAACTATTGTTGATAAGTGTTTGTTTTTTATGCTGCTTCTATATAATATTTTCTGTTATTTATTAACATGTGTCTAATTTTAATATTATTTTAGTTATTTGTGGTATGTTGATCACAAGACGTTTTATGCCTATTAAAATGTTCTTTTAAAATTATTTAAAATTTTACACATAATTCTATGCATAAGAAAATAAATATAAAAATCACACACAGAGACACACACGCATATATATATATATATATATATATATATATATATATATATATATATATAAAAATTCGGAAAGAAAAATATATATATATATATATATATATTAAAAATTCAGAAAGAAAATTCGGATTGCCAACACACAAACAGAATGTCTCATATCGAGAATATTCCACATTGAACATGAAGAAAAATTAATTATTTTTAATAATATAAAAATCTCCACTTTCACCTGAAGACGGTTATGAGACCAGACCAGAAACACGTGTCGTGAAATTATGTAAAACAAAGTATAATATTTTTTCTCAATAAATCCACATTACAACCAAAAACGTTTGCGGCACCCCCTCTTCTTTTAATATACATACTTTTCTCTCGTTGGAACCACTACAACATATTTCTTTTATATATATATATATATATATATATATGTGTGTGTGTGTGTGTGTGTGTGTGCTAAAAACATAGTTTTTTAATGTGCTATATTTGTAGATTAAAGTGATTAATATCAGGGATAGAGAGTCTGTAATTATAAAAGTGGACATTGAGGGCAACACCCATAGGCGAATATATGTTTCATGCTTAAAAGGCGTGAAGATTGAAACATATTATTGCCACTGGGTCTTAAAATCAATTTTCTTTCTCTTTCTCTCTCTCTCTCTGTCTCTCTAAATATATATATATATATATATATATATATATATATATATATATATATATATATATACATACACACACACACACACACACACATATATATATATATATATATATATATATATATATATATATATATATATATATATATATGCATACAGTAGCGGCCATAATATAAGGAACGGAAACAACAAAGACATAAATATGTGTATTACTTAAAAAGTAATGCATGATTAGCAATGAAATTTTTACCGAATAAAGATTAGGGTGTAATGCATAAATATTATAAAAAGTAACAAAAAATTACATAATAGTTTTTTTTTTAAATAAAGATTAAATAGAACAAAGAAAATAAGCCACTATATTTTGGTAAACATCACAAAACGTTTTATGCCTATTAAAATGTTCTTTTAAAATTATTTAAAATTTTACATAATTCTATGCATAAGAAAATAAATATAAAAATCACACACAGACACACACATATATATATATATATATATATATATATATATATATATATATATATATATATATATATATATATATATATATACGTGTGTGTGTGCTAAAAATATAGTTTTTTAATGTGTGCTATATTTGTAGATTAAAGTGATTAATATCAGGGATAGAGCGTCTGTAAGTATAAAAGGGCAACACCCATAGGCGAATATCTGTTTCATGCTTGAAAGGCGTGAAGATTGAAACATATTATTGCCACTGGGTCTTAAAATCAATTTTCTCTTTCTCTTTATCTCTCTCTCTCTCTCTCTCTCTCTCTCTCTCTTTATATATATATATATATATATATATATATATATATATATACATATACACACACACACACACACACATATATATATATATATATATATATATATATATATATATATATATATATATATATATATATATACAGTTTTGGTAAACATCCTCTTATTTTCAATGACTTCTCTGCATCGTTGACCACATGATCTAACTAATTTCTTGCAAAAATCAGCAGTAATTCCCTCCCATTCGTCTTTCAATAACTCCCATTGGTGATCCTGGTTTTTCGGGTTTCTTTTCTGAGACCTTTGTCTAATTATCCTCCAAACATTTTCTATTGGATTCAGGTCGGGGCTCTGCGCTGGCCACTTCATTAGGGCGATTCCTTCTTCATCAAATAAAGCCATAACCTTCTGACCCTTGTGGCAAGGTGCATTGTCCTACATGAAAATAGGAGATTCATAAAGATTATGGTGTAATCTTGGTACCACATGCTGCTGAAGAAGACTTTTGTAAATTTCAGCATTGATATATGCCATGTACGCGGATGATAGGGCAACTCCTGTAGACGAAATCATTCCCCACACCATCACACTGCCGCCACCAAACTTAACGGTTTTCTTGACACATTGAGAAGACAGTCTTTCACCTGTTCTACGGCGTACGTAAGCTTTGCCCTCAGAACCAAATATAGTAAACTTGGACTCGTCACTGAAATGAACTATATCCCGTTGTGCGTCAGTCCAAACATGTTCTCTCGCATACTCCAGGTGTGCCCTTTGGTTTCGCTTTGAAATGAGAGGCTTCGAAGCTGGAATACGGGCATGTAATCCTGCATTTTTTAACCTGCGAGCAACCGTTTTCCTTGAGATCTTATTATCTGTCTCTTCATTAAATTTACGGGCAATTGATGTAGCAGTTTCAAAACTTTTTTTTTTCTAGATATTCTAATAATTCTTTGATCTTCTCTTTGCGATGTTTCTGGTGGTCTGCCGGTTTTTGGTTTTGCATCTAACGTTTTATCAGTTTTATACCTGATAATTACACGATGAACGACACTTTTAGACCTATGAACAATATCATAAATTTCTGAAATTGACATTTTTCTTGATAGCGATAATGAGTTTTTTTTTCTTCAAAAGAAAGCGTTTTGCGTGTAGAATTTGCCATATTGCTTAAAAATAAAGTTCTAATGATAAATAAACTTTTACTTATTGTTTAAAAGCTCCACCGAGTTTTTTTAACAATGTAAATTAAAAGTTTATGCAAATTATTAACATCGCTCCTTGACTTTTGTCCAGTAGCTTATTTCCTTTGTTCCATTTAATCTTTATTTAAAAAAAACTATTATGTAAATTTTTGTAACTTTGTATAATATTTATGCATTACACCCTAATGTTTATTCGGTAAAAATTTCATTGCTAATCATGCATTACTTTTTAAGTAATACACATATTTATGTCTTTGTTGTTTCCGTTCCTTATATTATGGCCGCTACTATATATATATATATATATATATATATATATATATATATATATATATATATATATATATATATATATATATATATATGTGTGTGTGTTTATTTGTCGCTGCGTGTTAGTGTTTGTGTGTGTGTGTGTTCAAATGTTACAAGCGAATTGCCATTTTCATTTATAAAACAACTGAAATTTCTGGGACGAGTGCTTTACCAATGAGTTACCTACTTAACGCGTTTTTTGTCAATGGTTAGCAGAGAAGAAACAAAGAGGAGTGGTAGCGAGCCAAATTTAAAGCCATACGTAATAGGAAGTCGAGGAGAGTCATGGACGTCTGAAGAGTATGCTATATAAAAGAAAAAGAATCACTAACTCAGAGTTTTTTGTTAAACAGCAGTGTAAACTGACCTCTCTCGCTTTGGGTGGCAGCCAACCAACAAAAGAGTGATGGAGAACCCTGAACTGAAGACAGTTGGAAAAACAACGGAACCCCATACCATTATCTTTGAAAAGAAATCATTGTACTTTAACCTTAAGAAATCTGTTGAGAGCCATGGTCATATAAGTTCTGAAACCACACAGCATTTAAAATTAGAATACGTTTTCAAAACGTCCAGAACTTTTGGCGCGCATTAATACTCTATCCAATACATCAAACACATATAACATATCTTTTAAAACTTTTCAAATCTTTACATTCTGTCTTCATTTCTCTTTTGACAATCAAATTTACTACTTTTTAGCATGTTTTTATTTTTTTTAAATTCTTTTGATTTGTCGTGGGAAGATTTTTTTTCTGTCTTCTTGACATAACATTGATATTTGCCATGCGCAACCAAATGACCTAATCGACTCTGAACTGTCTACTGACAATATCTGGAATGATAAGAGCTTGACATCAGGCTGCATTCAATCTGATATCTGTTAGAATTAACAGGAACAACTAGACAGAACTTATAACTTTAAATCATCAATAAAAAGCTACTTTCTATTTTACTGATCCAACTCCTGTATATCTGGGTGCGCTTTTAATATAACACTGTAAAAGTGGCACATCGTAGCGCAGTTGTCTTTGCATAGCACCCTTAGAAAGGTTCATATACGAAAAATCAAATAATTTCATATCTAACTGGCGATACTAATTTGTAATAATACAAATTATAACTATTTTCTATGAAGCCAATGTGGAAATGAATTATAATTAATTGAACTGATTCTATAGGCTTTTATATCAGAGGTTGACTAATTAATAACCATTTCCTCCTAACCAAGGCAATAAAGCCACTAAGACGAAAGGATTTGGCTTAATGTGAGAGAATACGAAACAAAGAAAAATTATAAGGCGAGAGAAAAATAAAGAACAGTAATTAAGAAAATTGAAAATAAAGACTGACATTGTGTTTGCATATTTTTAACCAAAGAGGCCGGAAAAGAATTCCACAAGCAAGAAGTGCGATACAAGTTTTGTGTTTATATAAAAATGTATTGCAGGTATTGTTATTATATAAATGTATTTTTTTTATTTTAATAGTTTTATTTTTGCTTGAGTATTTCCTATTTGACCAGAGATGGGACCCTAACAGGTACGATTACTCTGGTTTAGGGTGGACCTGAAACAAAAAAAATTAAGAGGTTGTTCTACACACCTCAAAATCTCTCTCTCTCTCTCTCTCTCTCTCTCTATATATATATATATATATATATATATATATATATATATATATATATATATATATATGTGTGTGTGTGTGTGTGTGTGTGTGTCTGGAAACAAAGAGAGAGATGTACAGACAACGATATATTTGAACAGAGACTTGAACAGGTTAAGATAGATAGATAGATAGATAGATAGATAGATAGATAGATAGATAGATAGATATGAACCGATTTAGATAGATAGATAGATAGATAGATAGATAGATAGATAGATAGATAGATAGATTCATTCATTCATTCATTCATTGTAATGTGGGCCATTTTATTATAAAAAACGGATTTTTTTTCATTTTACTATAAATTGTATTGTTGGTCATTTTTTTTTTAGATAAAAATTCATTACTGCTTTCTTTTTTTACTATAAAGATGACTTTTTACTTTAATAGCATTTTGTTTTTGTTTGGGTGTTCACAATTTGTCCATATCTGGGACACTAACTTGTTACTACCCCGGGTCAATGTGGATCTGGGAACAACAGCAAGAAGTGGTTCCATGCACCTCAACAATTCCAGTCACTCGAAAACTGTTACCATTGAAGCCATTTCGATTGTAGCATGAGATCTTTCCACCAATCTTGTATTGTGCTTAAATTTATCAAATCTGGGCCCTTGAATTTTTTTTCTAGCTTACACTGGGGAGAAAGTGACTGTTGAGATGTGAAGTTATGAGTAATAACATTGTAGAATCTTCTTTGTATTTTATCAAGAATCTTTAAATACACAGCAGAAGCAGCAGACCAAAGGTGACAGCAATATTCAATGTATGGATGAATGGTAGACTAATAAATGTTTAAAATAAATTCTGGCCAGAAAAACTGTCTAGCACAACACAGTGAATCAACTTTTCCTAGCAGCAGACCGAGCAATTGATTCAATAAAATCTCTCTATCTCATCTTAGAAGGAAAAGCTTAGTCAGTGAAGACGAAGGTATCACTCTCTTGGAGGTTAGAATCAGCCATGATGATGAAAAGTGAAAAAGTGTTTGAGACAAATAAAAACAGCTTAGAGACTGTAAAATTAACAAACCATTCTTTGCCCCAGTTAACAAAATAATGTAGGTAATACTTTTAGATCAGCTTCCTGTTTGAATTTATCGAATTGATCATGGCATGCAATTAAGAGAGGTGTATATACTAGTGTCATCAACACTGGATCTAACCAATGTCTTTAACAAATGCGCCATGACCAAGCAAAGAAATGAATACAATATTGACCCCAGTAATAATGAGCCCCAGAGAAAAGCGATAATAACAACAAAAATTTCAATAAAAAAAATACAATGATAACAGCACAATTTGCAATATGAGTACTGGTAAAAAAAATGTACTGAAGATATTAGGTTTATAATACCCAGAAATTCATACACGGATGTTCTCAATGTAAAATGGTACAGTGGATAAAGGCGTTGGTTAGATTCAGTGACAGGAACCAAAGAGTGTGAATTCAATACATAGCTAGTGGTGGAGAACGTGGCGAGGGGAATTAACAGATTCTTACTTATTATAAAACGCAGATTGTGTGTGTCTGTAACGTTTATATATTGGATTTGACGACAAAGATGAGGACACTATTTCGAATAGTGTACATAATACCTCATCTTAAAAATATAGACATATTTATATTTTCTCTCTCTTTATATATATATATATCACATTTATTTAATATAATCAGCTCAAATCTTAGATTAGTATCACAGACAAATATTTTCGGAATAAATACTGTTTTCATTCGTTTCTAGTGTTTTATAAGGTTTCTTGTCTATAGAAAACTTGATGGCATAGCACAAAAATTAACTGCAAAATAATATATTTTATTCGAAAATATTGTAATGTCCAAAATAATATGCGGTTTGGGTAGTGAATCAGTAAATATTTATGCCCGATATCGTTCAGACATATTCCAACTTCCGTTTTCTTAAAGTGCAGAACAGACCAGTCACACGTTGCCGAACATTAGGGGAAGTTGTACGTGTTCATGTAATAAGCTGATTGAGTGAAAGGATTCTGGAAAGGGGTGAATAGCATCAGGTTTTGCGTGAAGAGCGATGAAAGTCCCATTGAAAGATTCTTCTTCTTCTTCTTCTTCTTCTTCTTCTTCTTCTTCTTACTTCGTCTTCTTCTTACTTCGTCTTCTTCTTCTTCTTCTTCTTCTTCTTACTTCGTCTTCTTCTTCTTCTTCTTCTTACTTCGTCTTCTTCTTCTTCTTCTTCTTACTTCGTCTTCTTCTTACTTCGTCTTCTTCTTACTTCGTCTTCTTCTTCTTCTTCTTCTTCTTCTTCTTCTTCGTCTTCTTCTTACTTCGTCTTCTTCTTACTTCGTCTTCTTCTTCTTCTTCTTACTTCGTCTTCTTCTTCTTCTTCTTCTTACTTCGTCTTCTTCTTCTTCTTCTTCTTACTTCGTCTTCTTCCTTCGTCTTCTTCTTACTTCGTCTTCTTCTTCTTCTTCTTCTTCTTCTTCTTTGTCTTCTTCTTACTTCGTCTTCTTCTTACTTCGTCTTCTTCTTCTTCTTCTTACTTCGTCTTCTTCTTCTTCTTCTTCTTTTCTTCGTCTTCTTCTTACTTCGTCTTCTTCTTCTTCGTCTTCTTCTTCTTCTTCTTCTTACTTCGTCTTCT